ACTGCGCCAGAGGAAACGCTGTGCCGACTGGTCGTCCGCCCGGATATGCACTTGGTGGAACATCTCTTTGATGTCTCAGCCGAAGGCTAACTTGAATTGTCGAAAGCAGAGTGGGACACCAACCAGAGGGTTAAGTAGGTCAGGACCCAGGACTAGCGCATCATTCAGACTTGTGCCACCGGACTTTGCAGCCGCGTCGAAAAAAATCTCAATTTGCCGGGCTTGTTGACTTTGTACACCCCGAAGTGCGGTAGGTACCAGGTAAGGCCGCTGATGTTGGTAGCTTCATCGGGTGAGAGCTTGCGCGCGTATCCCTTTTTCAGGTAGTCATTGACCTTGGACTCGTACTTGGCTGCAAATTCTGGCTGGGCATCCATCTTCCGTTCCAGGTGACGGTGGCGACCGAATGCCATGTCGTAGCTTCCTGGGAGCTGTGGTCAGTCCTGCTTCCACAGCAGGCCCGTCTCGTAGCGGCCATCGGTCCATCTGCTCGTCTGTTGTAGCAAAGTTTCAGCGCGAGCAATCGCTGGCGACTTCAGCGTTTCTGCGCACAGCTTTATGCCAAAGTTCTCTACTGTGAATCTGTCCTCGACCAACTGGTGCAGAGTGTCATGGTCGGACTTCTCCCACATAGTCAGCGTGACATGCGGGTCCGCTCGGTTGCGAAACTGTCCGCAAAGGCTGCCATGGATGACCCAGCCGAGTTTGGTCCGGGATGCCATGGGAGCATTGGGCGGTCTCTCAATCACTTCCCGTGCCACAGTCAGGTGGCCGTTGTCCTGACCAATCAGCAGTTGCGGTGGTGAGCCGTTACACTTCGACAGGTCAATGCCGTGCAAGTGGCCCCACTTGCTCTTGACCTTGTCCAGATCGACCGATGGCGCTGCTAGAGTTAGGCCTAGCCTAGTCCGCACATTGGTGAGGATGAAAGATGCAGAGCTGCTAGTATGGATAGTGAGGTTGACTCTCTCACTCGCTCTATCCTGCTGTGTGATGCCGTTGGTCCACTTCAGGAACAGAGGATCACTGGGCCCAGTAGCGCCTAGGCGCCGTGCCAGGTCTGCGTTGATCAATGTCACTGTGGATGCCTCGTCGAACAGTGCTTAGGTCTCAACTGTTCCACTGGGTCCTTCCAGTGTGACCGGCATGACACGGAGCAATACATTATTCCGTGTGGCCGTTGCGCTGACAGATTCCGCCGCATCGGTTGACTTTGTTGCATCGGCCGGCGCTTCGTCAGCGGATATATCATGGGTGGCATTCATCACGTCTGACCTGGGGGCGTGATGAAGCAGAGAGTGGTGTGGCTCCTGACAGCCATCTACCTCACACTTTTTGCTGTGAGAGCAGTCTTTCAACATGTGGCCGCGGTTTAGGCAGGCATAGCAGAGGCGGTTCTCTCTACAGATCTTCCACAGCTGACGGATAGGCTTGCCACCAAACTCCGAGCACTTGCGGATGTCGTGCTCGCCTGTTCCACAGCCATCACAGGATTTCTTGCCATCGCGTTTGCTTGACGACTTGGCATCAGCTGGTCCCTGGTGATTGTGTAGTTCACCTCTGGACGACGACCTGCCTTGTCCAGCACTTGAGTTCCGGTACGTGGTACGTACACATGTGCGGCAGCTTCTGCTATTTCCAATAACCATTTGGAAAATAGAGCGATACTGATGTCACCCGACGTTGACGACTGCATCACTTTCCCCCACTGCAGCCGCAGACTTGCTGGTAGCTTGGAGACAAGCTCCTGGCGGAGTTGCGGGTTATATAAGTGTCCGACGCTGTTCAGCAGACTCATTGTGTGGACGAGTGTCTGGACGGACGTAGTGAAAGCCATTATGCCGTCAAAATCATCATTTCTGATGGTGCTGAAGGACCTGGCTCTCTGGATCAGGGCGCCGATCACAAGCTCAGGCCTGCCGAAACGGAGTTCAATGGTACGAAACACTTTGTTGATGTTGTCTGGTACTGCTAGCAGTCCAGACACGGCGTCCTTGGCCTTTCCCCGCAAACATTTCTGAAGGTGCACGAGATTATCGGCATTTGAGAACCCACACTCCGTTGTGGTGGCTGAACAAAGGCCACTCCTCTGGGGCTCCGGAAAAGAGTGGTAGATCCTTTGCCATCGTCTGCCGAGCAAGGAAGCGGTTGGTGGTCCTGGATTGTGGTTCCGGAGGTGCTGGTGGTGGAGGGGGCACCTTCAGTTGGGTGGCCTGAGGAGGACCCTCACTCAATGTCTGGTGGATGGCCAGCTCAGAATGCACACGTTCCAGCTGCTGTTGCAGGAACAGTCCCCGGGGAGATGGTGGGTCACTGTGGGTCAGCACAGGTGTAGCCGGCGTTGCTACGAACAGGGCTGCTGTCGCATTTAGCAGGACTGTCCGCCCTGGCACTGGACCATTTCTTGCTGGTGGCACAAACTGCCCTGCACCCAAGAAGGTCACCTGGTGCGTGACAGGGTGCTGGAATTGGCCTACTGCCGGCGTTTTGCGCTGTGCGAACAGCTCGTGCGTAGACGACACACTATTCAAAGTTAGAACGGCGGGCTGAGCAGCATGTATACGGGCCGGACGCATGCAAAGTCGAAACGGGTAGACCGTGCTGCGCAAACAGCTCACGCTGAGGGGGCGCACTATGCTGTGGATCAGGCACGGGTCTAGTTTGTGTGTCAGGTGCACATGGCTGCGCAGCACTCTGGGTGTTTGGGAACGGCTGCAGCAACTTCACAACGCCATCGAGCATTGTCTTTCCCAAACCAAAAGTGAATTTATGTATTTCCAAAACACAAATTATATGAATGGAAAACATGGAAAACCTCCAGTCAAGTACGCGCTGGTACTATGAATTGCCAGTACAGAACTGTCTCTCGTACCGCGTACATATGTATGACAAAAAACTCCACAGCGCGACACAGCGCCGCGGCTCGATCCCAAAGTGACAAGCGAACAGCATGCACACATCAAATAAATGCACAACGTAGAAACAGAAATCTTTGAACAGAAACAATAACAAAGTAACTGGAATGTAAGATTGTTCATCTACAGATATTCAAAGACTTTCACACTCAATAGTGGTTGCACGACATCCTCCCCACCAAAGTCTTCTCAGGCGTAGCGAGCTGGAGGCCGAATTGTGCGCGTACGGGTCGATCTTGCAAGCGGACCCGCTGGCGCTGGCTCTGATGACTGTGGAGCCTCTGGCCATGGCACCGCAACTGGCGTGACCGGCGTCGACAACTAGCACGGGTTCGTCCGCAGGCTGCTCCTCGACCACTCACACCGGGTCACGATCGCCCGAGGCGACCAGCTCCAAAGGAACCAAGCGCCGAATCGGACTCAGCACAGAAGAGCACTCTCCATTCTCCTTCATGACACGGACCTCAGCCACTCTGACTCGCCCGTCACGCCCAGGAAAGAGCTTGACGACTCTGCCCATCTGCCAGCGCTGGCGCCGCTTGTTGTCAGCAATGATGAGGACGCCATCATCAACCACGATCGGCGACGAGCGCCCAGCATGGTACGCATTCAAGGTGACCAGGTCCTCATCTTGCCACCGGCTTTCTGGTGTCCCGTCAAAGCAGTGACGTACTTCTGACGCCGACCCAACTGCTCAGCCGTCACGTGCTGATCGGTGACCTCCGTCACGCCGGGCCAGAGCTTCCCACACAGCATCGCCAACGTGTGTCAGTGGACGGTCGTTGACAGCAGCCTCGATCTCACACAGCAGGGTGCGCAACTCGCACTCCTTCACCAACGCCTTGCCAAGCACTTTGACTAGCGGGCGCTTCACGGCGGCAACGAGCCGCTCTAAAAACCCGCCGAACCACGGTGCCGCTGGTGGGTTGAACAGCCACTCTACCGACAACGTCTTCGCCGCTGCTCGGAACGTTGTGCCGTTGTCTGAACGGATGCAGGCTGGCTCTCCCCACCGTGCTCAGAACCGCCGGTACGCCAGGAGAAACTCTATGTTCTCCAAGCTCCGCACCAGGTCGATGTGGACAGCTCGGGTGGTGCCGCACACGAACAGCACGATCCATGCCTTGCCGCCATCCTTGACATAGAGAGGGCCGGCATTCCACTCCGCATAATCCAAAGGGATGCTGGTGCACCACGCGGTCTCGTGGAAGCGGTGCGGAAACTTCATCCGCGGCTCGCACATCCTGCCGACGACAGATAACGCATTTGCTCTTCACGCTGCGCAACGCGCGTCGACCGCCAATGATCCAATACTGCTGCCGCGCAAGAGCTAGCACACTCTCGACACCCTGATGTAGCGACTTCAGGTGGAGATGGCGCAAAAACATCTCGGCGACGTGGTGTTTAGCGTGCAGGACCGGGTGCTTAGCGCCGTACGTCAAGTCGCTTGACGCCAGCCGGCCGGCCGCCAACTCGCATCACCCCGTCGTCGTCGATGAACGGCTGGTACTGGAAGAGCTTCGACTCCTTCAGCACCAGTTGACCTGCCAACAGCCGTTTGACTTCCTCCGGGAAGAGCTCCAGCTGCACCTTCTGGAACACGAGTGCCCTGGCTCGTCTCTCCAGATCTTGAGTCGACAACGGTGGGCGGCTCTGGGGACGCCAGCTCAGCAGACACTTGGCGACTCCCAGCAAGCGCGGCCACCTCGATAAGCGCGACCACCAGAGCTGCTCGGGCTCCAAGCTGGCGATGACGACATTCACCTTCACTGGTAGCGACTCTTCTTCGGTGCACTCTACTGTTGGTCATATTGGCCAGGCGGGACCATGCTGCCAGCTCGATTGATGCAGCTCCTTCAGTGTCGCACCACGACTTGCCAGGTCGGCCGGGTTGTCGCTGCCTGGACAGTGATGCCACTCCATTCCGAGGCCGTTGGATACGTCCTGGATTTCGCTGACCCGGTTGGCGACGTACGTTCGCCAGCGATGGGGTTGGCCGGCAATCCACTGTAGCATCGTCATCGAATCCAACCAAGCGTGCGTCTCCTTGATAGGCAGGCGCACCTCTCTTGCGACGAAATGCAGCTAGCGACTGCCGACAAATGCTGCCTGCAGTTCCATCAGTGCCAGGGTCTGCTGCTTCATCGGAGCAACCTTGGCTTTGCTGAAGATCAGCTCGCTGACTCTGGGCCACGTGGCGTAGATACAGCAGCTGAACCCGCTCTCAGAGGCGTCGACAAACAGATGTATCACTGCTTCGGCGCTGCAGCTGAGGTAGCGCGGCAGTGGCTGGTGCTGCAGAGCTGTCCTCTCTCTCCACCATCGCCGGATCAACACCTGCATGCTTGCAGCCGCCTGGTCATCCCACGCGACAGCCTCCTGCCATAGCTCCTTGAGGAACAGCTTTCCCTGCAGGACGTACGGCGACGCGAACCCAAGAGGGTCGTACAGGCTGGCCACGCAGTGCAGCAGCTGGCGCTTTGTCGTCGGATCGTCACAGTCTGGAGGCACCGGAATGCGAAGCGAATCCTCTTCGCCATTCCAGCAGAGACCGAGCACCTTGCCGCTCGACTGTACCTCGTCATCTCCAAGCGAAACATTGCACTTCCACTTCCGCAGATCCATGCCCGCTGTCTCCAGGCACGCGGTGCCGATCTTCTTGAACTGGCGTGCCGCGTCATTCGTTTGCACGCTGGCAATGCAGTCATCGACGTACAGACTGTCGCGCAACCGGCCAAAGACGTCTGCCTCGGTCGGCGTGGCATGCTCCAGCGAGGACTCCAGGTGCGTCCGCAGCACTGCTGTGAGCAGAAACGGTGAACAATTCACCCCGAACGGCACCCTCGCCAGTCGCCAGACCTGCATCTTGTCTGACGCATCGCTCCACAGAAATCGGAGATAGCGCCGGTCGGCCTCCTTCATACCGATCATAACGAAGGCCTTCCTGATGTTGGTTTGCACGGCGACCGGCTGTTCCCGGAACGGAATCAGCAAGCCTGCTAAGCTCGGTAGTAACGACGGGCCCGGGTCCAGCAGAGCGTTCAACGACTCGCAGCCGGCCTGTGACGCGGACGCATTGAAAACGACGCGCGTCTTCGTCGTCGTGGATTCGGCCTTGAATACTGCATGATGTGGCATGTAGTATCCCGCCGTCGACGGGTCCGGCTCAAGCTCGATCGCGCCCAGCTCACCGTACTCGCACAGAAGGACGTCGTCATACAGCGCCCGCCGGCCGTTGCGGTCGAGCCTTGCCATAAGTCGCGACGCCGTTGCCATGGTCTGCGCATAGTTGTCGGCTGGACGCTCCGCCGACTTCCAGAGCAGGCCGACTTCGTAGTGCTGTTCCTTCCGATCTCCACAGAGAACTGTTCACTCTTGTGCATGGTGTCTGCAGTGAACTGACCCTTGATGGATAGAGGTGCACCAGATGGACCAAGGAGTTTGGTACTGGATGGTGTGAGTACAGGGCGTTGTACGAGATTCTGTTAGTGGAGTGCATGATACACGATACATCAGCACCTGTGTCGATCTTGAATATCAAATTTGTCGAGCAAACAGGCCGACTTACTGACCAGGTCAGTTGACTGGGAAGGACTGGTGTTAAATGACAGCTCTACCACAACACCCATGAGTGGCGACGGGGACGCAATGATTCATTTTCGACAGCTCTGGCACCACGCGTGGTTGCTGGAGTGGAAAGACAGACGGCGGCAAAGTGGCCCTTCTTTCCGCATGAATTACACTTGCGACCAGATGCAGGACACGCAGAACGGTTGCTCTTGTGCGAACCAGCGTGGCCACACCACGGACTTGTTGAAGATGTAGTGCCGCTCTTCCTCTGCATGGATGGCGTTAATGCAGGCTTCAATGGAATGTCACTGCGCTGGAGACGACTCCTTGCATCTTGCTGCTTTCCTCCAAAGCGGGATGCAGCATTGACTTGCGGCCTGGCGGCTTGTGCTGCAACGTCTCCGGAGATTTTCTTGGCCTGCCTGGCCCTGAGAACTGCATCCGTGAGGGTGAGTTTTGTGGGCTCAATCTGCTGCAGCTCCTTGGCGACTTGACGATCCAGAAGGTGAGCCACGAGGCGATCTCGAATTCTGTTGTCCTTCTGGTCACCGAAGTCACAGAATTTCGCTACGGCGTGAAGTTTCCGAACAAATTCTTCCACGGACTCTCCTGGAAGATAGACGCACTGTTGGAAAATGGTCCTCTGGTGAAACACGTTCAGTGCTGGCGTAAAGTAAGCGTCCAGCTTCGTCATGACCTTGTCATGCTTGTCCTCGTCTCCAAAGGCGTCAAATACCAGTTGATCGAGGACAGTTTCGGCCTCTGGGGCCAGCCAGTAGAGCAACGTAGAGATTTGTGCTTTCTCGTCTTTCGCGTTGAGCTCTGAGGCGAGGCAATATCCCACAAACCTGCGTTTCCAAGCCGGCAAGGCATCTGGAATGGAGAAATCAAAGTCTGCAGGCAGCGCGAGCTTGGCCATTTCTACTCGAAGTGTAGACCTGGTTGACTAACTTTTGACACCATGTTGTGCCATGCACTGACATAAGGAAGTGGTTTATTTTACAGACAGATGAGTGTAGATAATTATAGTGAAGAGTCAGGGAGGCCATGCCCAGCAGAGCATGGAATCGTGCGTAGCACGGGGGTAGTGTGCGGTCACGTACCGTCTATACATGGCGACAGCCAGGGGAAGGACTGTCGTGAATGGGTGAAAGGATAACATGATACAGGATAGGACACAAACCAAATGTACAAGCATGAGGAATAAGAAACATGCATGACGAATTTAGAAAAGGGAAATTAAAGTTGCTGATGCGATTTCATGATAAGTATTAAATTATATGCCCAAGGTCCGAGTCTAGAGTCGTACTGCCACAGTATTCCCACCCAGAGAACGAGTGCGGGAACAATCAAGTGAATGATAAGAAATCAAAAAATACAGGAAAGAAGTACAGTATGAAACACTAGTAGCGGAAAGCGGATGATGCCCAGCGCAGCAAATCAATCAAGCAAATGCGCAGGCTTAACACGATCAACAGAGACAGTCTTGTCCATACCATTGATACGCTGAGTGAAGTACTTGGGAGTGCGCTTGACCACGGGGAAAGGACCATCATACGGCGGTTGGAGTGGTAGCCGAACTGCGTCACGGCGCAAGTACACTTCAGCGGCTGTGTCCAAATCGCTGGGCAGATAGACAACAGGATTCATGCTAGTACGGACGGGAAGAGGACGGATCTGCCGCAGGAAGGTAGACAGATGAGATGCGTAATCACTGCGGTAGCTGGCAGGAGTCAGGGAACTAGATGGGAAGAATTCACCAGGAAGGCGCAGCGTTGTACCGTAGACCAGTTCTGACGTTGAACAGTTGCTATCAGGCTTTGTCGATGTCTGGATACTGAGCAGAATAAGCGGTAGCGCTTCTAGCCAGTGAGTTGAGTCAGAGAGAGAGTCCGGAGTGATGACTTGACATGCCGATGGAATCGCTCAATTAAACCATTGCACTGGGGATGGTAGGCGGTATTGCGCTTACGCTGGTATCCCAGTAGCTTCATCAAACTGTTCCAGAGGGCCGACTGAAAATGAGCACCACGATCTGTGACAAGAGAACAAGGTACACCAAACCGGGCAATCCAGCCTGAAGCTAAGGCAGACGCAACAGTGGATGCAGTGGCATCGGGGATTGAAAACGCCTCAGGCCACCGGGTGAATCGATCAATGCATGTCAAGAGATAACGATTTCCGTTGCATGAAGGAAGAGGACCAACGACATCGATGTGGATGGAATCAAAACGCTGAGCCGGCACAGGAAAGCTACCAATAGCAGAGTGGGTATGACGCTGGACCTTAGTTCGCTGGCACGAGTCGCAGGCCTTGGTCCAAGTGGCAACATCCTTCTGCATAGATGGCTAAACAAAGCGAGCAAAACCGGGTAGCACGAACACCAGGATGACGGAGACTGTGGATTATTATTATTATTATTATTTAATATTATTTGAACCTGGTACCCTCTGTTTCTCAATCATGGTCTTAGACCATCCCACTATGCCTGCCTGCTTGGAAGCGGAAGGATTTTTTCCAGCCGTGCTGCGACCCACAGTTAATTGGGAACTCGTGGCCTGGCACGAGGAAAACATGGATGCAGTGAATGGGATTTTCGGTCTTTGAGCACTTGCTGGTGAGCTGATCTACTCACCTCCCACCGCTTTAGGAGCTGCATCTGCGCATTGTTCCTTGAAGGGTGGTGGCGTTCCTACGGATGCGGAAAACCCGGCTTCCAGCCGAGTCTCACGCGAACCGTGATTTTTTTATTCATTTTTTTAATATTATTATACGCACTATCGCCATGCAAGCGGGAATGCCTACTTCACTTGTGCCATTCAGGATGATGATAAAGAAAAAGACAAACAGAAAGCTCAGAATCTTGAGGAACAATGCTGCAGAGCAGAAAAGCTGTGATCGATAGGATGCGCTACAGAAAGGTGAAAATTATTACTTCATTGATAATAGCTGGTGAGTTGTCTCTCGAAACTGTGGATAGACAGACATATATCATGGCGAAATTTATGCGGCACAAATGGGCGAGCTACACCAGTAGACACGTCACAGATAAGCAGAGAGGGACTGCCGGGCACTGGAAGGCGCTGGAGCTTGAGTGGTGAGTCGGGCTTCGACATGTAGGTAGCCAACTAAGCATCAGTCTCTTGGGCAGTGGCAAAAGCGGTGAAATCAACAGCGTGCGATTGGCTAACAGCATCAACGTCAGGGCGGGATAGAGCATCAGCGACAGTATTCTCCTAGCTAATCATGTAGCGAGTGTCGGTCGCAAACTCGGCAATGTACAACAGTTGACGAAACTCACGAGAACTCACGTGAATGACGTGAAGAGGACAGATTAATAGCAAATGTCAGCTGCTTGTGGTCTGTCAGGATATGGAATGAACGGCCCTCCAAGTGATGCTGAAAATGCCGGATTGCGAGGTAGATACTTGGCAGCTCACCACGTCGGCGTCATCATGGCATTTGTATGTGGCGCGCAACGTGGGCGACATGCAAAATCAGGTTGACGTCGCACTCGACGTGTCTTGCCAGAGTTTGCCTGGCTATATGTAGGACTCAGTGACCAGTCAAGGCCCCGTGACCAATCACGGTCCCCGTGACCAGTCAAACAGTCACAAACCCCCCATGACCAGTCACAAATTAGTTTACCAGTCACAATGCCCCATGACCAGTCACAAATCACCATACATGTACATGTGTAAAGTACACAGTTCGTGACTGCTCGCGGGGTGCTTCGTACTGCAGGATTTGTTGTGGAAACTATAATTCCCTATGAGCGGTCGCAGAATACAGTTGTGACCACTATAATTCCATGTGCAATGTACAGTTGTGACCACTCTTTCTCTGTGAGTAGTCACAGGCAGAATATAGGTATATCTGTATTACAAGAGAGATTGGAGGCTTTGTCACAACTCTGAGTTTCACGGATTACTACGATCGTCAGGCAACTGATGGCTCCTAAACGGGCAGCCTGAACATAAGGGGGAGCAAGGGGTTAGGTGGGAAATTCTGAGGGGTATCATAGGCGACGGGTATTATAGTGCAAGAGTCAGGTGCAGGCGTGAAGTTGCCAAGTCCTCAGACTTGGGGCTATGCAGCAGCAGTTCCAGCGTGAATGACATAGAATAGAGCTGGGGACCACACATGCCCACACCATTACACACACATACACCCACACTCTCTCCCTTTTCTCACATACACTCACACACGCGCGCGCGCGCGCGCACACACACACACACACACACACACACACACACACACACACACACACACACTCATTCTCTAAATCTCTCTCTCACACACACACGCACATATGTCATTCATTCTCTACATCACACACACACACACACACACACACACACACACACACACACACACACACACACACACACACCTGGCCTGGTGTACAGCTGCCAAATGCTTAGCCACGCCGCCCCCGAGACAGGGGGAGAGTAGAAGAGAGAGTTTGAAACACACACACACACACACACAACTGGCCTGGTGTACAGCTGCCAAATGCTTGGCCACGCCGCCCCCGAGACAGGGGGAGAGTAGAAGAGAGAGTTTGAGACACACACACACACATCCACACACACATACACACAAACATCCACACACACACACACACACACACACACACACACACACACACACACACACACACACACACACACACACACACACACACACACACATCCACACACACACACACACACATCCACGCACGCACACACAAACACACACACACACACACACACATTCTCTCTCTCTCTCTCACACACACACACACACACACTCTCTTTCTCACGCATGCACACACACACACACACACATGCGCGCGCACACTTACTCACACACACACACACACACACACACACACACACACACACACACACACACACACACACACACACAAATAGGCAGCGGGACTACCAGCTAGATTCACGTGACCTTGCGGACAAAGTTACGGAGGTAGAACTTGTTTTCATGACGACACTTGGACACAAGTACTTCTTTCTGTATTATTATTTTATCTCTTTTCAACCAATCCACAAGCCAAGAAGAGATGCGTAGACGGAAGAACCGTACTCTTGGTGATACTGACCGCAAACATGATTAATTCCTCCAGGCCTTTGAGCACCCAATTCTAAACCTTATCTAAGCAAAGCAGCATGCCAGTTCAAGAACATGTCGTCAGACATACATATCGATACATGTCTGGTGCACTCTCACTAACAAGCAGGCATCGCGGGCTACATTCGCACCAGCAATCAAAAGAAGTTGAAGTGAGTGAATATTTCTATAAAATTAATAATTGGAAGACAAATGAAGGTGTGGAGGATCGCCCAAAAACACTGACAAGGAGAAAGTAAACGGTACACAGTACTCGTATGCATGTACTTACACACGTTATAGCAGCACAACGAGAAAGACCATGATGCATGATGATTAATGTTGCATCAATAAATTTTACAGAGTTATTTTGGGAGTAGAAATGAAGATGTGTTCGAAGCAGTAAACTGCGTAAGCACTACGTTGAGCCAGAATATTGAAATACAGTTTCCTGCAGTCAAAACAAGACACTCACACTTCTCTGGTCTAGTTCGCCATTCTTATCGATAAACATGACTTGATTTAATTTCTTACGATGGTTCTTGAGAATGGATCAATGATGTCTTGAATAGATGTCTTCCTGAACGACTTCAACTGAGAGGCAGTTTCAGTTTCAACAAGCTGGACATTGTTTTTCTGTGGAGTCTTCCACAAGAAAGACAGAGCTACACACACGAAGGTGCTTGATGTACTCAGTACCTTCTTGGAAATGAACATATTTTCATTTCCATCTTCATTATATTTTCGTCTCTGCATCGTCGACGATGTCCACTTCTGACTCCGTAATCTTGTCACCTATCCTCTCCAAAAACACAAATCGAGTGCTGCTTGCATGCTGGTTCAGTTGAAGTCAGTCTCTGCTCTAGCAAGATCGGCATGCAAAAATTACATGACTGAAAATATTCCGGAATAGCTTTTCTGAACGACGAAGTTTGTTCTTCAAATATGATGAATAGCACAACCTACTAGCCAGAACGTCCTCTCAAAAGAGATTCTATCTGAAGCCTGCAAGATTTTCGACCACCCTTCGTTTTGGAGAGGAGCCCACACACACTCGAGCTACAAGTAAACTACGCGGAGATCGAGAGTTGATCGAAATCTTTCTTGCTCACTTCTGAAACCTGTGAAGGAAAAAAGTATGCTGAACGCGTGAATGCCTACAGTTGAGTCGTAATATTTTGACGTGGATCCTGTGACCGTTCACAGAGAAAGTCGCGGCCGTTTCTGACTGGTCATCGGGATTCAAACTGGTGTGTGACTTTATGACTGCTCTTCGGGGATTTGTGACTGTTTGATTGGTCACGGGGATCGTGATCGGTCATCGAGACGTGACTGCTCACTGAGTCCTACATATATATTTCGATCCGTTCTGTGTTTGAATCATTCTTGTTTGCTTGTAGTGTTTTTAAACCATCCCACCTCCCTTTTCTCATCACTAATTCACTTTGATAAAGTGAATAAATGAGGTGTTGGCCACGTTCATTTCCAGCTACTCAGGGTCGTCCCTCGGACTCAGACTTTTGTAGAAACTTGGCTCCGCCAACATTCTGCTCCGGCAGTGTCTACCAGGCCGACTCTGAATCCTCTCTCGTAGAAACTTGGCTCCGCCAACATTCTGCTTCGGCCATGTCTACGCATTTCTCTCCGTAGCCTCTCACTCTGATGGCCGGTACTCCCCAGTACCGCAAATTGCTGTGTGTTGTAGTAGATGTGCGTGTGCGTGTGTGTGTGCGCGCGCAATTGGTGTTCGGCGAGCTGCCTGCCCCCCGTCCTCGTCACGGCCCGAAGAAGAGGTGGCAAGATGTGATGTCGAATGACCTTGCGGACCTCGGCATGACCACCTGGCTTGAGAGTTGCCAAGATCGTCCCGGCTGGAGACGAGTTGCGAGTAGCACTCCGCCGCCACAGCCCGCTCCTGATCCTCTTCTCTGTGTCTGTGGTCGCCCGTTTCGTCGACCAGGAGACCTGAAACGACATGCCAAGTTCTGCGCTCGCGTTCTCACTTGAACTTTACGACATTCGCTATCATTGCATACGCAATGGGCAAGATCAAGGTCAAGGTCAAGGTGTGTGTGTGTGTGTGTGTGTGTGTGTGTATGTGTGTGTGTGTGTGTGTGTGTGTGTGTGTGTGTGTGTGTTTGTGTGTGTAATCCCAGCACTAGTTGCTGTGTCTAACGTAGCTGTTCGCTATCATTGCTTCTGTGTTGGGCAGGTCTGAGGTCTGGGGTCTGAGGTGTGTGTATGTATTTATGCGTGTGTTTTTGGATGTGTGTGTTTGTGTGTGTGTGTGTGTGTGTGTGTGTGTTTGTGTGTGTGTGTGTGTGCGTTCATGCATGAGTATGTGTGTGCGTTCATGTGTGCGTGTGCATCAACATGTATATGCTCGTGGGTATATGTGGACATGGTTTTTCTTTGTTGTTGCTGCTACTTCCAGCATGGTTTCACACCATTACATGTTGCAGCAGGGGAAGGTCATGTTTCCGTAGCAGATTGTCTACTTAATTCTGGACATTCGTTGGAACCAAAGGATGATGTAAGTCAGATTATCCCTGATGCTTTCTCGTTTTGTATGAGCAGAAAGAAGAATTAAGCAGTTAAATATTTTTTGGGAGTATACTTCTGTGCCTTCTCTTCATATCGTGACGTACCTTCTCCCGTACGTTGTCTCCTTCCGCATCACCAAGGTGATATAGCGGCACGAGCAAATGAGAGCAAGAACAATGAATTATAATGTATTATTGTGAAAAGAAGAAGGACAAAATGTTACGAGTTCTGACAAACTGTCCACTAACGTAACCAGATCTTATCCAGTCAGTGAGCGCGACAAATTGGCACAAAACTGACAAGGTTTACTGAGACATTCGGCGACCTGACTCCTAGCTCTAACAATTCTCCAAGGTGCAAAGGAAAGCACAACGAAGAAGAGCACGAGCTATGCGCCACGGCAACAAAAATGCCTAAAGTTACTGGATGATGGCGAAAATAGTAAGACTCTTGGACATACCGGCCTTACTACAACTCGACGACGCAAAACAACTGACCACCCAACTTGGGAGTCTCAAGTTTATGTAATATACATAGAAAGGGGAAGCTAACCAAAGACAAATTGTCTCAAACAAAACGTCAATATCCTACTGAACTCCACTATTATGTAAATGTGATGGACTAGTTATGTACAACAACAATGCTCTCATGCGTGCACACACGTGTGTACGCCTGCGTGTGTGGGCTCAACATTCCTGGACATGCACGAGCACACACACTTACACACAACATGCGCCATGCCATGTTCATTAGATTTTGCCTTTATCCACCTAATGATCAGGGATGAAAGTATACTAGTGAAAATTGTATTCTTGTCTCCAAGTTAATTGTTCATCAATTCCCAAAGAAATCTAAATTGATAATGATCCAGAACTCCCTATGTTATTGCCGATGCTACCTTTACTCATTAACTGTGTTTGTTTGTTCCTGTGTGTGTGTTTTTGTGCATGCATGGTTGTGTGTGTATGTATTTGTGTGTGTGTGTGTGTCTATGTGTGCATGTGTATGTGTGTGTGTGTGTGTGTGTGTGTGTGTGTGTGTGTGTGTGTTCATGCATATGCGTATTTTTATGTGTTTGTGAATCGTCATGTGTATGTGTGTATTTGTGTATGTTTATGTGTGTTTGTGTGTACTTGGTTTGTATTCATTAACAATGCTACTTCTAGTATGGTAGAACACCATTACACTATGCAGCATGGAATGGTCATGTTTCCGCAGCAGAACATCTACTTAATTCTGGACATTCGTTGGACCCAAAGGATAATGTAAGTCAGGATATCCCTGGTGCATCCTTGTTAGTGTATGAACAGAAAAGACAGATTATATGGGTGTACATAGTGAGGTCCGGTGGATGTTTACCAGGTCTCATGTTCATCTGTTGTACGCACAATAATACATGCACAATTGGAAAACATTTTCCAATGAGAACAACAGTGTTCACTATCTTCAACAGCCTAGACAACACTATTGAGTTCCTTGGGTCACCTCAAAAATACTTATAAGTCCAGTGTCTTGGTGAGATTTGGTGTATGTTTTCATGTGAAATCGCAATGAACACAATTTTGGTTCTGTAAAGCAACCGGCTACTAGATTGGAATTCTTTGGTATTTTTTACACCTGCACAATGTTACACTTCCAGTGGCAGGTAAGATAGTTGAACAGCACAATCAGTCATGTCTTTGTGCGTAACTCGTACAATAATGGTGGTTTGTGTAAATCTGCATGAAGAAGTCACATCCGAACTTGGTTGGTTCAATTTCCAGTGGCGTACTTTCTTGTCCTGAACAAAACCAATTTACCAACCCACATGGGGAGAACACTCCGGTATGCCAATGTGTCACCAGTTTTTTGTTCATTGCAGGCATCCATGCTGTGCTTTTGAATTGCCTGTCGTTGGCAGCAGAGGATTGGGCGTATTTTGGAGTCTTCTTTTATATTGCTTCCTACGTTAAGCAAAACTTCGTTGCGTTTTTACAGTTCAGTCCAAATCATTCTATGGCTACAAACACGCTTTGCAAAGTGGAAAACGGCAGCATATGAAAGATATATAATTACAGATGACACACAGCTCGTTTCTAAGCCGTCCAGCTTCACTCTTCGTCTGAATCTGATGACGACTCACTGATGACATCGAGTCTGGATCCTCACTGACTTTTGCCTCCAGCGCTGCCAGCTTTTGTACCGCAGCATTTACAAATTGCCAAGACACAATTTGATCGTGGAGATCGCCAAGTTCTTCGCTCGAACTGTGAGCTTGACGACCTCCACGGTGGCGCTGGTAGTTGTGGCCACTCTCCGGAACGCCATGGAAGGAGCCATACAGACCCAAACAAACGCTCCCCATCTTTGCAGGGGTGTAGTCGTGCCAGAACGTTTCCACACCCTGCAGAAGCTCCTTTTAGGTTTCCTTCGCCACGAGTAACACGGCTATCTACAGGCTGTGGAAGAACGCCAAATCGTCGACGTTGAGATCAGGATTTTGCGCCGATTGCATGACAACATGAATGTCGAACATTTTTGATTTCCCCTGCGCTGCAAACAAAAATGCATTGATTTTGGTTGTGTGCGGATGCACACCATCGACTCGTGCTAGTACAGCAGTGCCTGAGCGCTGGCAGGCTCCTGGATACTTCTTCGAGCCAGCGTCTTTCAAACTGTTTCTCACTTTCGCACTTTGGTGTCATGCGTGCACGCCTGGGGTTGTGTTCTGGTGACATCCTGTCGAGAAACGGTTCTGCTTCGCCGATTTTTCAAAGGACTCCACGCTTTTCGGAGGTTCAAAAACCTGTCAGAACAATGGACGACAACTCGGCTACCCTACGTAGGGGATAGATCACTAACATGTATGTCTAATACCCACAGAAAATATCATGACAAGAACACTAAAAACGCAACGAAGCTTAGCGGAGGTAGTAAGTTCTTACCCTATCCCTAATGCCTTCGAGTTTATCACAGGCAAAAACGACCTTTTGGGGAATTAGTGTGCTGCTTTGAGTAACTTGTATTGCCATGCAAATGTTCAACAAGCTTGAATGCAACGCCACACTGCTGCCTGGAACTAGCTCGGGAATACCTGCAATACACTTACAATAGTTGTAAAGTGAAATACCAAGCAATGGACAGCAGCTGGCTAATGAGGAGCTATAGCTGACTTGTAATGAGCGGGAACAAGTGAAGCCAATGCCGGTTAGAAAGAGCAGAGCTAAACTTCCCAATCTACCATATGGAAGACGATTTTATTAGAGAAATGGAGCATGAAAAAAAAGGAAATTATCGTATCCGTTCCAGAAGGGAACTCACGACGGCCGCTAACACCCGATAAACCCTAGCGGCAGATGCAGCGCCTAACGGTGGGGGTGAGTGGATAAGTCTCACAACCACTGGCACAAGTGCCGAGAACGACCCTATTAGCTGCATCCATGTACCCCTTGTGCCTGGCCACAAGTTCCCAGTTGACTGTGGGTAGCAGCACGGCTGGAAAAAACGCTCCCAGGCAGGACTTGAACCAGGTACCTCTCGTATCTCAATCATGGTCTTTGACCAACCCACTGTGCCTGCCTGGTCTAGAAGCAAACAAATATGTTGACGTTGCATGGATCGCACTACAAAAAAGAAAGTGAAAGTAAGCAGTCATGCACATACAAGAGCAATGTCATTATGGTTGGTGTTGTTGTCAACTACCCTGTCTACACTGGCCAACATGCAACACTCACTGCCCACTCGACATTGGGCTAGTTACTTGGTTTTGCACAAGAAGAAATAAAAATTTTAAAAAATTCAAAAATTCACGGTTTGCATATGCATCTGCATCTTCGCAGCTGCATCTGTGCCTTGATCCTTGAAGGGTGGTGGCGTTCTTACGGATGCGGAAAACTCGGTCTCTATATATAAAACTAAAAGAGCTAGAGAAAAAGGATAAAGGCTTGCGAACCAACATGACACGGACACAATGGCGACCTACATCATCATGTGCACGCACAATAATACTGGAAAAAGGAAGAACGTCACGACCACAGCGCGAATTAATACTACAAAGCCTAACAATAATTGGTACGTAGTGATCAACAGTAAATGTGCTTGATATAAAGAAAGGAATAGACAGAGAGATAGAGAGAGAGAGATAGAGAGAGAGATAAATAGATGAGGTGGCGTCGACAGTTACTTAGTCAATCTATTACAACTCTGCCTCCAGACGCCAATACTCCAGAACAATATCGCATTGGTACTGAGTCACTGCCTCCGCCGTCAAATTTCAGGCCCCAGGCTCCACTATCACTAGTGTCACTCTCACTGTCACTCTCGGCAGGGCTCGGCTGAGCGCTGTGGACATCCGCAGTGTCTGGTAATACAGGAGCTGAGTCTAGCTTCATAAGGTCAATGTTGACCACTTACTCTGCATCATTGGCATGTCTGATCACAATGGTTGATGGTGACATCATCTTCTCCACCTTCCAGGCACGTACGCAGGGTAACCTCTAGAGGGTTTCCAGCCGAATCACAACCAATAAGTTTTAAAAATCTCAGTTGAGGCGTAGTATTAACTGTAGTTAACACGCACCTAACGATCTCTCAGCGCGTGTTAACTGTACTTAACACGCACGTAACGCTCTCTCAGCGCGTGGCCGCCTGCGTTTACTGCACATAGCACTCCACATTTACCCGTAGCTACTTCACACTGCATTCCACATCTACCCGTAGCGCTGTCGTTGAGCTGCTTTCCCGGTTGATGCGGTTGATGCAATCCGAATTGATGCAATCCGAATTCGGACCCCACGCGGAGGTCTCTGAGACCCCCGCAGTGGCTGCGCGACAAAATGTCGAGGACAGGGACACCCACGAACCTACTTTACCTGTCGCTCCCGTGTCCGCCGCCATCGCGACCGCCATGAAACCGTTTATGGACCGACTGGACCGTCTGGAAGGTGCAGCGCAAACAGCAACCTCAGCCCTAGGTACGTCCACTTTGCATTCGTCTAGTGTTTTCTGCGCCGTGCTGCATGATGAAGGGCCTGTAAAAATCAAGCGCACCCCAGAGCGTGATCGACAAAATCATAACGCACCATTTTGTTGACTTACAACAACTGTTGCCACTGACCGCCACGGACGTGCCAAGCCCCCACGCTCTGGTGTTGGGCGAGGAGGCACCCGGAAAATTCACGCTGTCCTCCCAGCCACGCATGTCCCGGCCCATTTCGGACATCGAAAATTGGCTTGAAGCATGTACGATATTCGCAGCCGTCTATCTAGATGCGCATCCGGGGAGAGCAGTAGAACTGTTGGCGTATCAGCACCATATTCTGAACGCCAACAAAAAATACACGTTTTCCGCAGTTGCGGAGTATGACTGCACCTTCCGCCACAGCATCGAGTCCCATCCGTCACGTCATTTGGACACAACACCACACACACTGTATACTACCGTGTTCGATGCCCGTGCTGTGCGGCCCTTTCGGCCCAGCTCCGCGGCAGCCCCCGGCGCCGCACGCTCATCAACCGAGCGGTATCGACTCTACAACCGGGGCTTGTGTTGTCGAAACCCCTGTTTGTACGCTCGCCAATGCAGCACCTGCAACGTCTCCGGACACGGCGCATGGGAGTGTCGCACAGGGCAACCAGCCGGCAGGCGTTCCGTTGCGCCAACAGTCGCACTAGACGCCCGTTCACCTGGATCGGCTTGAGTCGGCTCTGGCTAGGCACCCTGACCGCGCATTCGTTAACTCCCTTATGCATGACATGTCCTCTCCATTTTTGTTGAACAGGCTCGCCGATGCCCTTTGCTGGGTAGCCACGAATAGATTCTATGTGCATGACCTGCTGCAGTACCTCGATGATTTCCTCACAGTTCAACCTCCACAACCGCCAAACTATGTTTGTCGGCAATTTTACACATTACTCGCAGTCATGGACCACCTGCAAGTCCCGTTAGCCAACTGCCCTGACAAGGTGTGCCCGCCGTCCACAATTGTCACATTTTTGGGCATAGAGTTAGATTCCCAGGCATGGGAGATGCGGCTGCCAGCCTCAAAGCTGTTGGAACTAAAGGGCACCCTTGACACCTGGGTACACCTAGTACAGCGCACCAAACAGGAATTGCTCTCGTTGGCAGGCTCTTTGTCATTTGCCGCCAAAATAGTACTGCCCGGGCGCACTTTCTGCCAGCCAGTACACGTCTCTTGACAGGACCCAGCGCCTGAGCCAAGAGGCTCCAAACGATATAATCCCGGTGGCACGCTTGCATTGAGTCATGGAACGGCCGGTCACTACTGCTAGACCCATCCTGGTGCAAACACACCGAGATGCAGCTGTTTACGCATGCTTCTGACCATGGCTATGGCTTGGTCTGTGACAAAGAATGGGCGTATGGCCAGTGGGAGGCACTCCACAAGGATCTGTCCATAGAATGGCCCTTATCTGTGTGACGCTAGGCAAACGACTGTGCAAGCGTCGACTATTAGTTCAATGTGACAACGAAGCGGTCTTGCCAATCTGGCGCACAGGAATGTCTAGGTGCCCAGAGATCATGACACTTGTCAGGATTGCGTTGTTAGCGGCTGCCAAGCATAACATGGTTGTGTTTTCACCACACATACGTGGTGTTGACAACGTCCTTGCTGACTGTTTGTCCCGGCTGTAGGTCGACAGCTTCCGGAAGCTACATCCCCAGGCGTCTCCATGTCGCTAGAAGCCCGGCAGCTGATATGACCACTGACCACACCATGGGCCTTATCCTTGCGGGAGTGGCAACAAGTACCGCCCGGTCGTATGCTGCCGGCGTGACAGCATACGAGAGATTATGCCAGCCTTCACCGTGTCGCGCCATAACCCATTCAGGCCACCCACCTACTGGATTTCCTAGCGTACCGTAAAGTCTTGTATAAAAGCCGCACTTGAATAGAAGCCGCTCTCGAATAGAAGCCGCGATTTTGGGCCCATCAAATCACACATAAGCCTGGTTTTAGTGTTGACATACATAGAAATACCTGTCTTGTATAGAAGCCTGTCTGACATAGAAGCCTGCAAAATTTCACGAAGAAGGTCATAGAAGCCGCAGCTTTTATACAAGACTTTACCATACATGTCATCCAAGTGCCGGCTGGCAACTATCAAGGTCTACCTCCATGTCCTCTGGCATTACAAAATCGTCAACATCCTGTCGTTGTCCCCGTTCCAGGACGGGCGACTGGACTTGCTGCTCCAGGGTATCGCCCGCAACCAGTGCACGAGCAGCCAGGTGCAGGAACGCCGTGCTGTCCCGCTGCAACACCTCCGTGCAATCCAGGGCTTCCTGTCGCACTCCGGTCTATCACCGGCCGACCAAGCCATGCTCTGGAGCACTATCACACTCACCTACTACGCGTTCCTGCTAGTCAGTGAGTACGCCTCTACCGACCCGCAGAAGATGTTGACGCGGGAACGCGTCTGCATCCGGGAGAACGCAGTGAGGCTGGCTGTCTCATTCTCCAAAACAATGCAACTGGGAGAGGAGAGAGGACGGTCGGCGCCACCAACAATAACACCTGCCCGGTAGCCGCATTAGGGAAGTACGCACAGCTGCGCCCCCAAGTGGCGGGAGCGTATTTCCGCTACCAGTCTCGCCAGCCGCTTCGCCCCTCGGACATGAACGACTTACTTCGCCGAGCTCCCCCTGGCCAGAAGATCTCCAACCATAGCCTGCGTATCGGTGCAGCCACTGCCACCGGAAGGAATGGCCTGCCACCTTACGTCATCCAAAGGGCCGGCCGATGGCAGAGCAACGCTGACCTCTGATACATCCGTCTGTCAGAATCGGACATGGAGCCAATCGCGAAGGCACTGGTGACAGTGTGAGTACATGCACCGCCTTCCTAGCACTATCAGCTGCCTGAGTGACGGCACTGCCCTCTTCACACTATCTGCTGTATGAGTGACAGCACTTCCCCCTAACACTACTCGCTATATGTCGTGGTGACCACACTACTCCCATAAGCACTGCTGGCAGCAGGAGCGTCTGCACTGCCCTCCTACCACTCCTCTCTGTACGAGTGCTCGTGCTCTCCCGTGCTGCTCCCTGCATAGTTAATGGTACCTGCCCTCTTGAAACTAACTGCTGTAGACTCAAAATTATGTCCTTGAACATCGCTGTACACTTTCATGTAGTTTCCATGTTAAGGTCAGCTAGATTGGGGCTTACGCCTCCCCCAGCAATTTCATTTTTGGGTGGCATCCACATGGAGTGGGTGGCTGCAAAGCACCCCGTAAGCCTTTGAGCTGACACGCAACTCTAGGTTACCAGCCCCTCTGCATTCGTCCTACCATGCAGATGTCCGGGTGTAAGCGTAACCCCGTTAGCAGCCTACTTCCACATCTGTCCTACCATGTGGAAGTGCGGTGTAAGCCTAACCTTGTTAGCGGCCCCCTCCACATTCGTCCTACCATGTGGTGACCTGGGTGTAAGCCTAACCCCATTTCCCTCCGTGAATCCCAGTCTAGCCTAAACCTTGTCTTCAATATTGTGTGTGCAATGGGATGTTAACCCTTGTTTAAAGAGCCACAGGTAGCCCTTGGCAGATCATGCTGGCATAATTTCTGGCATAATCTTCGGATTTTGCCTAAAAATGATGCCCTGCCATAATGGACTTCTGAGACCAGACAGTTAGCATAACCTTAAAATGCTGGCCGAAGATGTATTGCTCCATGGATATTTAGGCATGTTAAAGGAAATAACCTGATGAAACTAGGCCAGCAGTGAAAGGGTTAATGGGGTGTTGCCCACGCTCATTTCCGGCTACTGAGCGCCGTCCCTCGGCCGCAGAATCTTGTAGAAGCTTGGCTCCACCAACATTCTGCTCTGGCAGTGTCTACCCGGCCGACGCTGAATCCTCTCTCGTACATACTTGGCTCTGCCAACATTCCGCTTCGGCCGTGTCTACGCATTTCTCTCCGTAGCCTCTCCCTCCGATGGCCGGCACTCCCCCGTACCGCAAGTTGCTGCGTGTTGTAGTTAATGTGTGTGTGTGTATGTGTTATCCCAGCACTAGTTGCTGTGTCTAACGTAGCTGTTCGCTACCATTGCTTCTGCGATGGGAAAGTCTGAGATCTGGGGTCTGAGGTGTGTGTGTGTGTGTCTTTATGTGTGTGTTTTTGGATGTGTGGGTGTGTGTGTGTGTGTGTGTGTGTGTGGGTGTGTGTGCATGTATGCATGATGTGTGTGTGCATGCATGTGTGCGTATGCATCAACATGTGTATGACTGTGGGTATGTGTGTACATGTCTTGTCTTTAATTTTGCTGCTACTTCCAGGCTGGTGACACACCATTACATGATGCAGCACAGAGAGGTGATGTTTCCGTAGTAGAATGTCTTCTCACTTCTGGACATTCGTTGGAACCAAAGAATAATGTAAGTCATATTATCCCATGAATGCTCGTTTTATGAGCAGAAAGAAGAATTACGTAGGTGAATACTTTTTAGCGAGTAGACTTCCGTGCCTTCTCTTCATGTTGTGACATACCTTCTCCCGTACATTGTCTCCTTCCGCATCAACAAGGTATTATAGCGGCACAAGCAAATGAGAGCAAGAACAATGATGTATGTATATGCATGGTGTATAATGGTCACGCATTAATCATTGTTGTTTTTCGCTATTCTGCTTTGACCCGGTTTTATCACTACACTGCTGGACATACTTCAGTGTGAAAAGGAGAAGGACAAAATGTTCCGAGTTATGACTAACTAACTGTCCACCAACGTAACCAGACCTTATACAGTCAGCGAGTGTGAATTTTTTTATTTTATTTACAATGAACACAGCTCGCAGGCAAAGACAAAAAATTGCATAGTGGGCTTGCACACGGTCGAGTCTTGCAAGATGGAATCGGGCTTCTTACATCCAGATGATGGGGCAGTACTCCATCACTGGGCGCACAAAGGCATTGTAGGCTTGGATGCGACCGGGCGCGTCAAAAACGTGGAAAGCCTAACACAAAGCGCCAAGTCGCTGCTGTGTTGCCGGAAGGTAAGCTGACCATCAAAACTGACGCCCAAGATTTTGAGCTCCACTTGTTCCCTCAGGTTAGATCCGTTGAAATCAATCTGTGGCATGTTCCATTGGGTGCGGTGGAAGCTGACAATCACTACTTGGGATTTGGCTGGTTCAAATATCTATCTTCCATTCTTGACCCCAGAGGGAGATGTTGTTGACTGCTAGCTGGAGGGCTTGGGTGGTATCTTGTTGGATGGGGGGGGGGGGGGTGATGTTGGTATGCAGTGTAGTGTCGTCTGCGAATGAGGCTAGGTCAGCACCGGCTGGTAGGTGGTCCTCGCAGTCGTTCACGTATATGAGGAAGAGAGTCGGACCCAGAATACTGCCCTGGGGGACTCCAGCCTGAATTGGGAGCCTTGAAGATGTCTGGCCACAAATGACCATTTTGATGGTAGCATTCACTAAGGTAGCTGCTGAGCCACTGGTGCAGTTGCCCACGTAGGCCGTATACGTTGGACTTGTGTAGCACACCGGGGTGTGATACACGATCAAACGCGCCGGCTATGTCAATGGCGAGTATGCGTACTACGCCTTTCTCCCCGGCTGTATGCAGCCACTGATCGTGGAGGCTGGAAAGGAGGTCGGCTACATGATGGCCATGGCGAAATCCAAACTGTCTTTTGGAGAAGACGTTGTTCGACTCGAGGAAATTAGTTATTGTTCTGTTAATAATTGTCTCCATCACTTTGGCCAGAATACACAAGAGCAAAATTGGACGGTAATTGGAGGGTAGAAACTTTGATTTCCGTTTAAATATAGGGACTATGTTGGCAATATACCATGTCTTGGGCTGTATCCTAGTGTGGAAGCACCGCGTGAACAGTGTAGAAATAGGTTGAACCAGTTCAGCAGAACAGGTTTTCAACACTCGTGCCGGTATCCCATCCGGCCCGGTTGCCTTTGATGGGTTGAACTGCCGAAGGGTTCGCTCGACAACAGCCACACGGAAACGGACATCCGAAAGAGCCTGTTAATTTCGAGGCTTGACATATGGGAATGAGGCTGACAGGTCATCTTGCAAAATAGCGGGCCATGCATTCTCCTTTGTCTGCGCTGGCTGTGTACTCACGTCCATCGGGATGACGTATTGTCGGAACAGTTTGACTACACCCATTCCCAGAGGCACACTAGACGGTGTGCCACCAGTCACTGGGTGGCAGCTGCTTTGTTTGTTTGTTATTTGTATTCTTTATTTAGAGTGGGAAGTCCAAAACAGGCCCTAGCCTAATACCAATGGTCCCACTAGAGAGGGAATGCTGTATATATGTGCATAAGGATCAGTGAGGGTAACAGCAACTAGTAGGGAAAGAAAAAGAGAGAATAAATACAACTCAAAACAGGAGTTGTGACTTGCATAGGAAGAAAATAATGGAAATAGCAGTATTTTGAGGTCATTTTCTGTCTCAGTTTCGCCATGAAAGCACTCTTCGCAGTTTTGAGACAGGCAACCGTTGAGAGCCTAGCATCTTGGTAAGCTTACTGCCGATCGTCGTCAGACGGGTCATCTCTCAGGCATCTCCATGCACGTCATTTCCTCACTGTGGCAGCAGTGCACTCAGGGTCCACTATGGAGGATCGAATGCACGGGTTTTCAGGGTTTTAGAGGGTATGAATCTCTTCATTCCCGCCAGGATCCTCTCTGAGATGCCAGTGCATGACAGGTCTAGATCAGTTCGAGCAATAGCTGCCCAATTGGTGGTTCTGAGGAAGTGACGAAGCCTGGCCCAATCAGCATGCTGATACCTCCATACAGTTCATGATATGGGAAGCTCGCGTGACACACGGATCTGGAAGTTGGCAAGTAGACAGGCATGGTCAGATTTGCCAAGAGGTGGCAAGACAGAAACCAATGATTCTACGGGTAGGTCGGATATAATCAGGTCCAGTGCGTTGCAGCCGTGCGGTGGTTGATCGACTAGCTGTTCAACACCGTGCATGTAGCACATGTCCTCTGCATGCTCGACACCTCAAGTTGTTCTGCTACTGTGGAGCCACTCTTGGTTGTGTACATTGAAGTCCTAGCAACTATCACAGCAGAGTTGCGGCAAAATGGCACAAAACTGATAAGGAGTACTGAGACATACGGCGACCTGACTCCTAGCTCCAACACTTCTCAAAGGCGCACAAACCAACAACCTCCCAACTTGGAAGACTCAGGTTCGAAAAGGTCCAAGAGGGGAAGGAAAGCGCAATGAAGAAGAGCACGAGCCCCGCGCCACGGCAACAAAAATGCCAAACGTTACTGGATGATGACGAAACTAGTAAGACTATTGGACATACCGGTGTACTATAGTAGAATGACCCCCCAGCAGATGGACCCCGGGCATTGTACTATAATTATAGTAGAGTGACCCCGGGGGCAATCTACTATATAGTACAATGACCGGGGCGTCGTTCTACTATATAGTAGATTTCCCCCTGTCATTCTACTACAGAGTCCACCAGACGGGTCGTTTCGCATGTGCAGGTAGAAAGGGATGGAGTTTACACCACAGATTCCAAGTGGACATTATGGATTGTGGCAAGAGTCCGGGGTTATGTACTCTTGGTTGTGGGAATATGTGGTGAAAAGTCCACAACATTTGTACATAGGTCGCGCACTTTTCCTCTTTAGGAGACATGAACATCCCACCTTGAGTGGGATTGTTTTTGTTTCGGAGTTGGAAGAAAGTTTGCAGAAAGTTCAGTGTTTCTTTGCGTTTTCTGTGTGCTCCTTGCTCCTTTTGGATTCTACTATATAGTACAATGACCGGGGGGGGGGGAGGGGGGGGGGGGCCTTCCACTACGGGGGTCATTCTACTATATGACACCGGCCTTACTACAACTCGACGACGTAACAAACCACCCAACTTGGGAGGCTCAAGTTTATGTAGTAAACAAAGAAAGGGGAAGCTAAGCGAAGACGAATTGTGACAAACGGAAACGTCAGCATTCTACTGAACTTCACTACACTGTATCATGTAAATATGATAGACTAGTTATGTGCAATAACAAGTTGTTCCACATGACGTACGTTTTGCCGAATAGGTCATGGCGGCTCATACAGTGTGCAAAGTTGAACTCCGATGGTGAGCCAATTAAATTAAATTATGGTGAAAAAGGAGAAGGAAAAAATGTTACGAATTATGACTAACTGTCCACCAACGTAACCAGATCTTATACAGTCAACGAGTGCGACAAAATGGTGGTTGGTGGACAGTTAGCATAACTCGTAACATTTTGTCCTTCTCCTTTTTCACCATAATTTAATTGGCTCACCATCCGAGTTCATAATTCATTGTATTTGCTCTTGTTTGCTCTTGCGTGTTTATCACCTGAGGAGAAGGTACGGAAGTTTAGTCGCGAAACCATTAGTTTTGAGAATGTTGTTGAAGAGCCGGAGGTTTGTCCTATCAACATTTTTCCTTAGCTTCATTAGCCTGGAAAACGATAATGAGTTACTTGCGTCACCTCAAACTCGCTCGTAAGTCCAATGTCTTGAAGAGATCTGGTATATGTTTCCAAGTTGGCTGTTCGAGGATCGCAGTATCTCGGCTTCCTCCGGAATCCCTCTGGAGTGCTGGACTCCATGTGTCATTGTGTGATCTACAAGCGCTTTGTCCGCCCGGGCACAAACCACTCTGGCTCGCCTCATCCAACAGGATGGCCATCGCCTAATCAGTGAGAAACCCTACCTTTGCCTCCTGTACAATATGCATTGTCTAGATGCACATCGCCTTCTACAGATGATGTTGCCACATGTTGTACATAGATACATAGATACACACGAGTCACAGAAAAACCACGCGTCTTGATGGCTGTAACTTAAAGTTTCATGCCATAATTATAGCAATCTTCAGACAACTGATTACAGTGATGCACAGCTAGTGTGGTATTTATACAGCAGCATAGGAAGGAATCTGTGAAGGTTTGAGGTCTGGTGGGTGCAAAAGTCCTGGATGGAAAATGTGCCAAACTCACATGGTCCGTGAGTGAGAAAAGAAATATGATATGGCAGGAAGGCAAGCAAGGCTGTGTGAAAGGATGATAATGATAATGTGGCTTGCCTGTAATCACAATCATGCAGGTGCAAGATGCCACACACTTTGGTAAGCGCTTAAAGGGGAAGTTAAGGCAAAAATTAAAATTTCACCAGTTGCAGTCTCCGGGGTGCTGAGTCGAATGGTCTTGGTCAGAGAAAGCTGACACGCTCCCTTCCTACTTGAATCCCTATCGAACTCGCACACTTCCACCGAAACTGGGTGACTGCGCCCTACTCGATGGGGATTTGTATGCAAAATGTCACTAAAAGCGCCATTTCGTTCTTATAAAAGCACGGATGACCGCGATTGGCCCAGCGTTCCTCCTTTATTCCCGA